TAAAAAATCTGAAATATACAAATGTCATTCATGTACCTTATGAATATAGCCTACTTTTCCATATATTAGGCTATTGCACAATGCTCTCCCAATTTCTTATTTTTGCCGTTCTACTGACGAAATGAAGCAGTGAAATGGACTCTAATTGACCCCTGGACCCCTTGTAATTGACCTAACGAAAATTATGAACCAGTAATTATGATTGAAAATCGTGATGAAATTGAAAATCAATAACATCGATTCAAATATCAGAATATTCAAAAGTCTAATTCAACTGACAAAAATTTTGAAAATTGAAACGATCCCAACTTTCACATGAGATTATTTGTGTTCTCGCTGCAAGTACCGGCCATGGAATGCTTTCATTTTAACCTTTGGTGATTGTGTAACATGCATGCATCATTCTTACCTTCGAAAGCTGGCAGTACGGCTCCCAAGTTGCTTTAAAGCAGCAATATTCTTGAACTTGGAACTGTCCTCCATGTTGATTTCGACGCGGGAATTCCTCTATTTCTATTGGTTGATAGAACAGAATACGATAAAAACCCGAACGAGAAATACATCAAATTTGCGAACGATGTACTTTCCGTTTGTAACGCTCGCCCTTGTTGAAAGGGACTAAAATTTTTGTCCCGAGGTCTGACAAATCGCCGGAAGAGTGGAGTAAGTTTTAGTCAATTTACCGATAATTCGCAAACTTTAGTCCCGGTGTAAAAGGGTAGGAGGTCCTATCAAATTATGGTCCTACTTTCCATTGATTTATATGGTGACCTAAATACAACTCTCCCTTATTATCGTATCCACAATCAGGGCCAGTAAGGGCCTTTAAGAAAGGGGACCATAATCCCCAGGGGACCATAATTTCTTTTACACCGGCAAGCTCCAGAGGAAGTCGACATGGACATCTATGAAGTTCAGAGGAAGAAAATATGGAATTTTATAACTCTGAGAGGAATAATACACGGAAAGTTCCAATTTTGAGAGGAAATTGACATGGAAAAAATGCTCAAAAAGGGGGTCTTTGGCGCGGCACATAGGTATTAAGAGGTATATTGGAATGAACCCCCCGGGACAGAACGTCAGACTTTTGTCAGCAATAACCCATGGCAAAATTACAACGTCGGAGACGTTTTCTTTACATCATATTTCCACTCTCACTCTCAATTACCACGTTAAGTTCATCTGTGTGAGCCAACATATGCCCGTGCCTCCACCGATCAGTATTTAAAGTTACCACAACTCGAGGCATACATGTATATTCGTTATATATTTAACATTTACTTCACGTCACAAATTAAACGAATTTGTTGAGACCACAACGTCTTTGTCACGTTCTTTTTCACATACATGTATATGTATTTTTCACGTTTAAACCCCGTTTCGTCAACGTCAAAATTAACTGTTTCGACAACGTTGCAAATAAACCAATTTCGTGAGGACATAGCGTCTTTTTGTAACGTTTCCTGCACTTACAAATATTTTTTTACATTTCAATTGAAAACACGTTTCGACAACGTTGATATTAACCGTTTGCACTACGTTGAAAATGAACCATTTTGGTCAGAAAATGACGTCTTTGTAACGTGTGTTACAATTACAAATATTTTTCACATTCAAACCATGTTTTGACAACGTTACAATTAGCCATTTTCACTACGTGGCAAATGAACCAATTTGGTGGGAAAACAAGGACTTTGTAACGTTTCCTAGACTTACAATTATCTTTCACATTTAAAACACGTTACGACAACGTCAAATTTTACTGTTTATATTACGTAGCAAATGTAACAATTTGGTGAGAACTGCAACGTCTTTGTAACGTTTTCTACACTTACAAATATCTTTCACGTTTAGAACACGTTACGACGACATCAAATTTTACCGTTTATATTACGTAGCAAATGAAACAATTTGGTGAGAAGTGCAACGTCTTTGTAACGTTTTCTACACTTACAAATATCTTTCACATTTAAAACACGTTACGACAACGTCAAATTTTACCGTTTACATTACGTAGCAAATGTACCAAATTTGGTGAGAACACAACATCTTTGTAACGTTTTTTACACTTACAAATATCTTTCACATTTAGAACACGTTACGACTACATCAAATTTTACCGTTTATATTACGTAGCAAATGAAACAATTTGGTGAGAAGTGCAACGTCTTTGTAACGTTTTCTACACTTACAAATATCTTTCACGTTTAAAACACGTTACGACAACGTCAAATTTTACCGTTTACATTACGTAGCAAATGTACCAAATTTAGCGAGAACACAACGTCTTTGTAACGTTTTCTACACTTACAAATATCTTTCACATTTAAAACACGTTACGACAACGTCAAATTTTACCGTTTATATTACGTAGCAAATGAAACAATTTGGTGAGAACTGCAACGTCTTTGTAATGTTTCCTGCACTTACAAATATCTTTCACATTTAAAAAACGTTACGACAACGTTAAATTTTACCGTTTATATTACGTAGCAAATGAAACAATTTGGTGAGAAGTGCAACGTCTTTGTAACGTTTTTTACACTTACAAATATCTTTCACGTTTAAAACACGTTACGACAACGTCAAATTTTACCGTTTACATTACGTAGCAAATGTACCAAATTTGGTGAGAACACAACGTCTTTGTAACGTTTTCTACACTTACAAATATCTTTCACATTTAAAACACGTTACGACAACGTCAAATTTTACCGTTTATATTACGTAGCAAATGAAACAATTTGGTGAGAAGTGCAACGTCTTTGTAACGTTCTCTACACTTACAAATATCTTTCACGTTTAAAACACGTTACGACAACGTCAAATTTTACCGTTTACATTACGTAGCAAATGTACCAAATTTGGTGAGAACACAACGTCTTTGTAACGTTTTCTACACTTACAAATATCTTTCACATTTAAAACACGTTACGACAACGTCAAATTTTACCGTTTATATTACGTAGCAAATGAAACAATTTGGTGAGAACTGCAACGTCTTTGTAATGTTTCCTGCACTTACAAATATTTTACACATTTAAAAAACGTTACGACAACGTTAAATTTTACCGTTTATATTACGTTGCAAATGAACCAAACTGGTAAAAATTCAACGTCATTGTTACGTTTTTCACACCAGCACAAATTTCGAACTTTACTAACACATTACTACAACGTCATTTTTTAACCATCCACCGACGTTTTGCTGAATGTCACAATTTTACGTTGCTTTGACGTTTATATAACGGAAATATACAACGTCTCCAGTGAACTTATATACCACATATGAGTGACGTTACATGGACGTCACTGTTTGCTGGGTTGTTGCCATTCAGCAAAATCGTAATTCAGGCTGTAGTACATCTGTGCGACTACCCAATAAACATTCTACTAAGACATCATCGTTTAAGATGTTAATCGAGTCTTCAACAGGTAGAAGATTAACAATCTTTTCAAAAAATGTATCTCTTGTTGCACTTAGAGATGAACATTCTAAAATGAAGTGTTTGACAATGTCGTTTGTTGTTTTGGTACAGGCTAGGCAATACTGTTCTTCTTCAGTAGAGAGTACAATGAGATATAATAATTGGGCATATTCCCATAATCTGGAGGGATTCATTATCCCAAGTTTCCAATGAATAATTGGCTCATAGTCTACGTGGGTGTTAGCAAACCTGAGGTATTTAGAATCTTAGTTTAAATCTTGTACCCATTGGCGTTTTTGTTGAGTTTTGTTGTTTTCTTCAATGACAACATATTTCCAGATATCCTTGCTCTGAATGTATATGACATATGCCATGGTCAATGTAGTTTGTAACTGTTTCATCAGAGCAGGAAGGTTTAGATTTTTAAGGTCTTGTAAAAAGCCTTTGTTAACTTTAAGTTGGCATTCTCTAGATATTAAGCTACTGAGCCTGCATAAAAACATTTGTTTTTGTGTTGAATTCCTATGTGATCTTAACAATCTCCCTAGAAAAAGGAATTTCATTTTACTGATAAAGGAACTTATTGTCTATATTCCCATACTGCTAATAGCCATTACACTAGGTGTTCTCTTTTCAAAACCTTGAAAGCGCTTCACAACGTATTTTTGAGCAATTTCCATTTCATTCATTTCTGTTTTGGATATGTCGTACCATAACTCGGCACCATAGAATGCTGAAGGCATCATAAAACGCTTCCAAATGTTAGAACTTGTGACTGGGTTAAGCCCGTATTTATACATTCCGATACCACACAGAGAGTTAAATATTTTCCTAGCCTTAATACATGCATCTGTTGTATTAGGTTTCGAGGTTAATTTCTTGTCTAAAGTGTTTCCAACAAAGTCAATTTGGGATAAGAAAGAATTATAAAGTATATATCATATAAGAATTCCTATTTTATTTTAGACCAAGAAATCTCACATATGTGATAATAAATACCGTTTAAAAGTTACAAATGGTTTGTATTTAAGTGTTATTTTACATCCGACATCTTATCTTACAAACTGCTTACAAACGTCCGTTGAACTATACGATTTCCACTTGGATGAACCGAGGCTACATTTAATTTTCACAGTGATTGCATTTCGAGTTAAACCAGAAAATTGCTCAAAGGGCGTTACCGGTAGGATTTTCATATTGCATTGTTCTTATTAATATTTGTGTATGTTTTCCGATCCGATAAATTGTGTAGTTTTTATCATGTAGATTTTTGTATTTCATTTTCAAATAAGATTGTCATAACAGGTCAAAGCTGATTTTAACATTGAAACTGTCTTGACATTTGTATATCCCGACGTCCATTTTTGTGACGGTCAAAGATTGAACAGATAAATTACTTTTAGCCCTTACCATAATAGTGGTCAATTGTTATTTTCCTGTATGTGAAAATGTTAATCATGCAAGCTCTAAGGGGGGGGGGCAACATTTTTAAGTTAAGTTTCTATCTAAACCTTTTACAAGTGTGACAGGTTCATAATCTATTTAGGTAGCTAATTTGATTTCAGACCCTACTTGGAGAGCAATTTTAAGCTCCAGTAAACTGTGAATGAAGCTATTTTTATCCCTATTGAATTGTGAGGGAATCAAGTTAGTGTTAGCCAGGGTATTGAAACTGTCAAGACAAGGTAAATATTTCTCCATATTTTCAAGATAACTTTGTAATATATTTTATAGATAGCTAGATACTTGTATTATCTCAAAGAACTATTTGTAAGCTTCATTTTGATATAAAATATTTCTATATTGAAACTGTAATTTTGGAGATATTATGTAGTTTATAGATCAATTTGACCACACCCATAGTCTTATTTTTATGTCAGACTGGTAAGGATTTATTGTACAATTTAGTTAGATATATCCTTATGTCAATTTATTTATTTTATGTAGGGAGCCAGGTTAGCTAACACTCGTGCATGACATGCCCAGGGAAGGTAATGTTCAATTTTATATTTTATGCAGTTAGCTGTTAGATTGAGCATATTGAAATTTCCTTGAAGCGTTTCAGACGCTGCTGTATAGATATTTTATTTGGAAACATTAGGCGCCATTAGTTCCAATGTCTATACTGCAAAGTGGTTTTGTTAAGCAGAACTTTGGTTATTTCATATTGTGCTCAAGTCAATTTGTATCAGTCATACCGTAGAACGTATTATCCTTTATCTTCAGGGTAAAGACTCCACTACATGACCCAGCTTATCTGGCTTAGGCCTGGTCTTTTGGTCGTTTAAGGCATTTACTTGTTAAGATTGTTAAGATTGTTCAGATCATTTAGATCATTTTGATTATTTAGATTATTTTGATCATTTAGATCATTTTGATTATTTAGATTATTTTGATCATTTAGATCATTTTGGTGATTTAGATCATTTTGATCATTTGGTTCACAGACAGTTTAGGTCAATTTATACAGATTTAATTGCATTGATAATTAGACATTTTCAATATTCATTGTAAATTGCAACATTAAGGAGGTTGAACACTGGTAGAAATGAACCTGTCAAGAAGCACTATTGGTTGAATCAGATTTTATATTATAATAAACGTGTTTATTAATTTTAGAGCTTTTGTATGTTATATGTTATGAATCGTATAATCCCCACGTGTCACAGAAGGATAGGAGCTACAGATATAGCACAAGTAGTCTGGAAAATCAGGAGAGTTGTACTTATTATGATGCAATCATCAGCTCCAATGGACAAAGATGGAAAAAGCTATCACTAATTTTACCATACGTATTGTCTTTAGGATAAAATTGCGCGATCTTACATCATCTTAGTTGTTAAAGTTAACCATATCGCTCAGTGGCAGAGCAAGGTTACCAATATCGCTTGGCCCTGGGTTCGATTCCCGGTTCAGACAAGTATGTTTGTGCGTTATGTAATTCTGGGTGTTTGACTGAGTGGTTCACGATTCGTATAAAAGGCTGTGATGTGTACCTGTATGTCTGTGTACCTGTGCACAAAAAAGAACACAGGGCTCCTCCAAGGAGGGGTCTCTGGCTCTGTCTTCGAGTGTAAAAATACGTAAAATATGGAATATACCAATGAGGTATTGCTCGCCAAATATGGCGGTAACCAAGATAACGTGATATCCAATCGTATCCGACGGATACTATCACTGCGTGAAAAATGGAATTCCAAAACTTGACACGTCTAGATACGGCTCTTGACACGCCGCGTGTATAGGCGTTCCTAGTTTTGACACCTCTTGGCACGCAATGAATTCAACTCTTGACACGCCTTTACACCTCTTGGTACACACAGTGTATAGACGTGTAAAGACTGTAACAAAAGTCTTTGCACGCGTTGTGACTAATTATTGAAATCTCTTTGCACGCTCTTCGCACAACAGTACAATTTGCGATAACATACACTATGTAGAAACTTAATACATAACCAATGTACATTTATATCTTAGTTAAAATCCGCCATGACAGACCAACATATTCATGAGTGTTTAATTGAAATACTTTAATAATTCCTCTGATTCGTATGAGTCCTTGCGCATACATATTTTCTTATCACTTTAGAGAACATATACCTAATACACTTTTAACAGATGCACATTTTAATTCATCAAGTAAGCAAATTCATTCATCAACAAGATAACCGGGAGACAACCGTGGTTGACAGACTTGTTGTTTTTATAATGCACGACATTGTTTTTGTACTTCAAATGTCACTGAGCTTTTGTGATTTAATTTCTAGATCACAAAACTAACTAGTATTACCATTGCTATTGTTTTAGATTTCTCTCTCGGACAAACGTTAAAGGATTGATACTTGTATTTCGTCCCACTGGTATAAAACTATATTTAGCGAGTTAATTAAGTACCACCCCATCATCAATCATAATTGTATGAAAAACAGTTTATTCTATATATAATATACCTACATGTATGTAATCTGGACAACTAAGAAAGGCAAGAACATAATGCAACATTACATCTGTAAATCATATTTATTGTATTTATCTGAATATTAAACATGTCAAATATAGATTTTCCTATGTATGTGACAATATTATTAGAATTATACATGATGTAACACAGTATAGTACATGTTATCCATATGAACTGTTAATAGTTAATTTTAGTTCATAATAATGCTTTGTATTTTCAAATGTAAAGAACATACAATAAAGGTCTTCAATCTGAAATCTATTTTCTGTTAGTAAAAGAACACATACTGTACTGGAATTAATATTTAACACTATTATATTTCACGTTTTGCGAATTTGATTTTGAAAACTATAATGAAAACTCATATTTAGTGTTCTAAGCAAAAATTCTCAAACTACAAGGCGATATTCTCAAACCACAAGGCGGCACTTGCAAACTATAATGCAACTCAAATATAATGTTCTACGAATAAATTGAAACCTCAAGGCAGAGTATTACAGTACAACGCAACATTTTCAAACTACAAGGGGATTTTATCAAACCACAAGGTGGCACTATAATGTAACTCATATATAGTGTTCTAAGCATAATTATAACCACAAGGCAGCATTCCCAAACTACAAGGCAGCATTCTCAAACTACAAGGCGGCACTTGCAAACTATAATATAACTCATATATAGTGTTCAAAGCATAATTAAAACCACAAGGCAGAGTAGTATAACCACAAGGCAGCATTCTCAAACTACAAGGCAGCATTCCCAAACCACAAGGCGGCACTTGCAAACTATAATATAACTCATATATAACCACAAGGCAGCATTCTCAAACTACAAGGCAGCATTCTCAAACCACAAGGCGGCACTTGCAAAGTATAATATAACTCATATATAGTGTTCCAAGCATAATTAAAACCACAAGGCAAGGCAGAGTAGTATAACCACAAGGCAGCATTCTCAAACTACAAGGCAGCATTCTCAAACCACAAGGCGGCACTTGTAAACTATAATATTACTCATATATAGTGTTCTAAGCATAATTAAAACCACAATTTGCAAGGCAGAGTAGTATAACCACAAGGCGACACTTACAAACTATAATGTAACTCATATATAGTGTTCTAACCACAAGGCAGCATTCTCGAACTACAAGGCAGCATTCTCAAACTACAAGGCGGCATTTGCAAACTATAATGCAACTCATGTATAATGTTCTGAGCATGAATTGAAACCTCAAGCCAGAGTAGTATTACCACAAGGCAGCATTCTCAAACCACAAGGCGGCACTTGCAAACTATAATATAACTCATATATAGTGTTCTAAGCATAATTAAAACCACAAAGCAGAGTAGTGTAACCACAAGGCGGCACTTGCAAACTATAATGTAACTCATATATAGTGTTCTAACCACAAGGCAGCATTCTCGAACTACAAGGCAGCATTCTCAAACTACAAGGCGGCATTTGCAAACTATAATGCAACTCATGTATAATGTTCTGAGCATGAATTGAAACCTCAAGACAGAGTAGTATAACCACAAGGCAGCATTCTCAAACTACAAGGCAGCATTCTCAAACCACAAGGCGGCACTTGCAAACTATAATGTAACTCATATATAGTGTTCTAAGCATAAATTGAAACCTCAAGGCAGAGTTGTATAACCACAAGGCAGCATTCTCAAACTACAAGGCAGCATTCTCAAACCACAAGCCGGCACTTGCAAAGTATAATATAACTCATATATATATTGTTCCAAGCATAATTAAAACCACAAGGCAGAGTAGTATAACCACAAGGCAGCATTCTCAACTACAAGGCAGCATTCTCAAACTACAAGGCAGTATTCTCAAACCACAAGGCGGCACTTGCAAACTATAATGCAACTCATATATAGTGTTCTAAGCATACATTGAAACCTCAAGGCAGAGTTGTATAACCACAAGGCAGCATTCTCAAACTACAAGGCAGCATTCTCAAACTACATGGCAGCATTTTCAAACCACAAGGCGGCACTTGCAAACTGTAATGTAACTCATATATAGTGTTCTAAGCATGAATTGAAACCACAAGGCAGCATTCTCAAACTACAAGGCAGCATTCTCAAACTGCAAGACGGCACTTGCAAACTATAATGTAACTCATAGGCAGAGTTGTATAACCACAAGGCAGCATTCTCAAACTACAAGGCAGCATTCTCAAACCACAAGGCGGCACTTGCAAACTATAATATAACTCATATATATTGTTCCAAGCAAAATTAAAACCACAAGGCAGAGTAGTATAACCACAAGGCAGCATTCTCAAACAACAAGGCAGCATTCTCAAACTACAAGGCAGTATTCTCAAACCACAAGGCGGCACTTGCAAACTATAATGTAACTCATATAGTGTTCTAAGCATAAATTGAAACCTCAAGGCAGAGTTGTATAACCACAAGGCAGCATTCTCAAACTACAAGGCAGCATTCTCAAACTACATGGCAGCGTTTTCAAACCACAAGGTCGCACTTGCAAACTGTAATGTAACTCATATATAGTGTTCTAAGCATGAATTGAAACCACAAGGCAGCATTCTCGAACTACAAGGCAGCATTCTCAAACTACAAGGCGGCATTTGCAAACTATAATGCAACTCATGTATAATGTTCTGAGCATGAATTGAAACCTCAAGGCAGAGTAGTATAACCACAAGGCAGCATTCTCAAACTACAAGGCAGCATTCTCAATCTACAAGGCGGCACTTGCAAACTATATAAGTAGCTTAATCATTTGATTTCCCTTGCTGTTGGATAGGATATGAAATGATTCAAAATACTAGTCCATGTCCGTGCGATTAGTATCAATTCATATAGTTTTGATTACAATCAGAATTCTCAATTTTGAGAATTCACTTTCAAGTCACCTTTCCTTTAATCTATCTGTAATCACTAATTAACTAGATCAATACATACTCGATTTCCTCTTCCCACCAACAACACTGTTATGTAAGGGCGGAAATTTGAACCGGGAGATAGTCTTCGGGCTGACATCTCG